ATATATGACAGTGCATCGAGAGTACTAAAGTTTTTATTTTATCTTGTAGAGATCCCGAGGCAAACTATTCTCTCCCACCGCGAAATTCCTAGAGCGAGTCTTGTCGCTCTTGCTAGTTTCCTGGCAGCTCGCTCGGCTCCCGACAATCGTCTTTAGCCGCGTGTTCCGTGTCGGTGCACGCGGAGACGCACGTGCACGTCTCCGGTCCGCGCGCGCGTCACGTCACAGCACACCGTCGTCGCTCCGCATACACTCGAGGATTCGAGATCACCGCGTGCGATACGTATGTACGTGCGTGCCAATATGTGTATACGGCACGGGGATGTCGGCGATACGCGCAACACGCGCGTAGACCGCAAGCGGAGCGCGTATGCGAACGTTGGAGCCTTCGTACGTGACAGGGACGACGAGTGGGCGTGACGTGTACGTACACGCGTTACACGCATTCCTTGACCGGTTTCTACACCGCGAGGCTCCCCGAGGATCAGGCGAGCATCCTAAGATGGAACGTGCCCGGTGCTGGTTCCCGCCGATCCGAAATTATACCGTTTTTTTTTCCTCTCTTTTTCCTTCTCTCTTTCTCTTTCTCTCTCTCCGTGAGACGAGCTGCCGTTTTGCGCGTAGGTATATCTACTTTCTAAATTTATTGGAGTGGAATCTCACTCGAAAGAGTGAAAATTGATACAGTCTTGAAAAAGAATATCGCATAAGTTGTCAGAATCGAATTGAGCTTGAATTATCAAATTTAAATTAACATAAATTTATATATGTTATTGAAAAATTTATGCTATTTTTATTTATAACAATTGTAACGCTTATTTGTAGAAAATAAACATTAATTAGCAATTTTATACCGTGAGTACGTTCTGTTCTTTCATAAAAAAAAATATGTATTTCTAATTATAGAAGCTAAATTTCTCGATTGTACGAATACTTTTTGTGCATCCAAATAATACAATTTTTTTATTTTCGCTTATTTTTAAAATAATATATAATTTAATTATTATATATCTTTTTATGTAAAATATTAAGAAAGCATGCAGTTTATTTTATTAATAAATTGCTAATTATCTTTACTTTTTAAAAATTAAAAATTTTTTTAAAGATATCTTCTCTAAATGAATATTTTTTTGTATATTCACTATAGATAATAGTTCTCTGAGTTTAACGTTATAATGACTGAATAATTATATGGAGCGATACAAATCTGGCTGTTTTAAAGCAAAAATTTAAACTGTATGATATCAATATTTACATTTTAGTAAAGCACGCCACGAATCTGTTTTCGGCCTTCCTTGGGTATGTTTCTCAGCAGTTCTTCATGAAGTAGTCCTTGTATCGTATTCAGTAACACAGAGTTCGTGATGTTGAGAGGACATAATGGCAATACTGAGTGATGACTTACCCAGGTTTTTAACGCAATATTATATTATATTAGAGAATTCTAAGGCAGAATGCAAAATTTGTAAAAAACAAATTTCTACGGTAAATAGGCACAGATTAACATCACATTTAAAAGATCATGAAACGATTGAAAAGTCATATGAAACGAAATCATATAACCCGATATGGTAATATTTTAGTAAATTGGAAGGACATGCGAAATGCGTTATTTGTGATAATATTATATCTGTGGCGAACAGATTAATAACCCACTTGGAAAGGAAACATCCAGAGATAGCAAATTTAGTAAAAGCACAGAAACAATAAAGGAAATTACTAAATTACATGACTTGAACCCATATTACAGATATTTAAATAAATTTAAAGTACAATGTACTGTGTAATAAAATTATTTCTTCAGATATCAAAAGACATTTGGAAAAGATACATTCACAATATTCACATAATATAATGAGTAAAAAGAAAATTTATAACTGGATATGGCAATATGTCAAAATAGAATCGCGTGACAATCGCATAAAATGTAATATTTGTGATAGCACTTATACATTATCTTCGCGATCAATACAAAACTTAAGAAGCCACTTGAGCAGATGCCACAACATAAATGCACAGTCAAAAATTGATGAAAATACTAAAGAAAATATAACACATAAAGCAGTAATAAGACAATTAGAAACTAAAGAATACGTAGCAGATGCAAGTATTTATCATATCGTTCCATGTTCAAAAAGTGAAGAAAATGAAGAAGGAAAATGCAGGTAAATTTTAGATATTACCATTCCTTTTGTATTGAGTCCTTCATATCCTTTTCTATACGATAAATATGTAAAAAGATTAGATATTTAGCATTTGTTTATTATTATTTTTCAATTAAAATATTAATATAACAAAACTAAAACTCTTAATAAAACAGATTTGATTATAGATTTTATCAGATAAATGCATGTTCTACGTCCGATGAAAATACTGAAGAAAATAAAACGGATAGAGCAATGAAAAAATTAATAATTAGAGAAGACATAATAGATATAAATTTTCATCAAAGCATTCTATATTCAAAACTTAAAGAAAATAAGGAAAACAACTGGAGGTAAATTTTATAAATATTATTATTTCTCTTTTATTGAGTCCTTTGAGAGAATTTATCGCTTATATTTTATATTTTATATCGAAATAATCAGTAATTAGAATTTCTAAATATTTGAACGTGGACAAAGATTTTTTTATTTAAATAGGAATTTTGTTTAAATTTAAATAAAAAATTCGATTTCTCGCTTTATTTATAAATAAAAATCTAGAAAAAATAGTTGTTATGTAATAACTGAACAATGCTTTTAATTTGAATATGTTTCTAATAATACTAATTATTCCGATACATTTTTTTGGTTTTATTAATTACTTTATATAAATCATAAAATTATGAGTTATTGAAATTTCAGTTCAACAAATAGCAGTTACATAAATTTCTATGGACAGATTCTGATAACCGAAGGAGATAAAGTATACACTGCACTTTAATTATTTAAATGACTTTGAATAAGTGAAAAAATTGATTTTATACTGACAAGCAAGCTCGTTTTGTGCACTTCTCTATAAGAAATCAAGCAGTTTTATAAATTAAATACAAACAAGTATTTTCTAGTTTCATATATCTATTTATTATTTTGTTTTATATGATTTAATTTAATCTTATGTAATATTAATTTATTATATTATAAGAATAATATTTTAATGATACTGTATTAATATATGTTAATTTTATTTTGGTTAAATATGTGATTTTTTGTTTTATGCATAATTATTGGACAAAATAATATATATATAAAATTAATATATTCTCAATAAAGTAGCATTTTTTTTATAAGAAGCATGGTATTTATTTGTTAGAAATCTATATAATGAATCAAAAAGGGATAAAAATTTATGGATAAAATTCCACTTATTTATTTCGGATTTTTCTGTCGTATCGATAGAAATAATTACATCATAATTATTTCGAAAAATTAATATATTCTGATTCATTTTTTATGTTAAAAGCTTCTAATATAATTCATGGTGTGATGTTTGTCATAAAATTGATTACGTTAAAACACAAGTCAACTTTAAAAACGCTCTTATTCTGAACATAAAATATCGGGATTATAAAGAAAGAGATAATAGACATGTCAATATTATACAGAAATTGAAGACATATTAGATAAAGTAAATGTCCCAATAGTCGAACATTTAAGCATAGATTGTCATAAATAATACAATTTAATATATTGAAAGGTTTTTAATACAATATAAATATTTGCATTCATTTGAAAACTCAAGACTCTCTTAAGCAAAGAAAAATTATCCGAATCCACTTATAACAATTATTAATTAAAATATTTAAATAAGTAATAAAATGCGTCAATGTATCAGTGGTCGGACAGCCGGTCGGACATTGAGACAAAAAAAGTATTCAAGATTAATAATAATATTAATTTTGTGTAAACGTCCGGACATAGATACGTGTCCGGTTACTGGAACGTTTTTTCTTATATAACACTCATGTAAATATCTCATTTTTATTTTTTTACGTTCAGAAATGTTTCTTTTATGGAATGTGATATGAATTTTTAATTCCGAGTTCAGTAAAAAAATTAGAAAAAAATCGCAAAACTTAGAGTAGCCGTACAGGCTTAACCTAATAACCGCGGGTTATCTTAGTAATATAGTTTATAGATATTGATCGGTCGACAGGCCAGTTCTTGGGGACCCCCTGGCATAGGATGGTATCATAGCCGAGGAGCAAACTCCGCGCCGCGTTTGTACCGTTCGCGCCGTTCGTGGTCCGAACGCAGCTCCTACCTTCGTCAATCTGCCTCCCACCGTCTTATGTGCTCCTCTTGAAAGGGGAGCGCTGCGGAGTGGCCGCTCCGCGCATCACTGCGCCCCACTATCCTTCCACGCACTCGCACTCGCAAGCCGCGCGCGTACAAACACGCCGCGGGCGGGCAGATCTCTCAGCTGTGGATCCGCGGTCAACCCGTTCTATCCTTCCATCTCTCTTCTACCTCGGCTGCGGTGGATCGGAACCGCGTTATAAATAGAGAGCGAAAGGGTCATTAGAACCAACTTCGGAAATCCCGAAGAGAGGTTTGCCCTGATTCATTGTAATTTGTCCGATTATTTGATAATTCGAAATAAGAGAGGGCTCTTGATATCAATATTGCAATGTTTTTTTTCTAAATTCTCAATTCATTATAAACGTACTTTCGTACGTTTCTCCTCTTTTTATTTCCTCGAAGCTAGACTACTCGAATTGCGATCGAAGTCCACGCCAAGAGACAACGCTTGAACGAATGTTAGAGATAGTTAGAATGAACCAACTGCATTATGTGTAGCTGTCTACTTAACGCAGACAAACGAATTCGAATGCACTGTCGTACACGCGCAGGAGACAGTTTCGAATGATTACGCTTACGGAGATA